CTTCAAAGAGCAACATGTCATTATTAAGGTGTTCCCTGATCTCTCCAGTCAATGTAGTCAAATATTGCTGAATTCCCTTATATGCTGGGCTCCATTCTGGACACTTCAGATATATTAGAGGTCAAATGGACAAAAAAAGCGCTTCTTTCATGAAGCTTACTTTCCAGTGGGAGAAGACAATATATCATATTATATATCTGCCTTCATAGTATAATTAATTAGAACTAATTAATTATTAAAACATAATAATTAGCCGAAACCGGTTTGGCTCAGTGGATAGAGCCTCGGCATGCAGACTGAAAGGTCCCAGGTTCGATTCCGGTTGAGGGCATGTACCTGGGTTGCGGGCACATCCCCAGTAGATGTGCAGGAGGCGGCTGATCGATGTTTCAATCTCAGCGATGTTTCTAACTCTCTATCTCTCTCCCTTCCTCTCTGTAAAATATCAATAAAATATTTAAAAAAAAAAAAACCAAAACAAAACAAAACAAAATAAAACATAATAATTAGAAAGTAGCAATGGGGAAAAACACAATAAGGGAATTTACAAGAGGTGGGCGTGTTGTTACTAGGATGAAAGTTAAAATAAGTATTGGAGTGGGAGGAGGCCCTCAGGTGACTTCTGAGCAAAGCGCCCTTGCGGAGAATTACCAGTGTACCTACCTATTTAGAAAAAGAATGGTCCAGGCAGAAGGATAGCACCTAAAACGGAAGGAAGCCCAAAGAATGAACAAGATAGAGTTTAGATCAAAAGACTAAACAGCAGAAAAATAGGTAGGATCAGGCCATTGTAAGGACTTGGGTTTCTACTCTGGGTGAAATGGAGAGTCATTGAAAAGTCTGGAATAGAGATCTGATATATTTAAAAGGGTCATTTGGCTGCTATGTTGAACAGTTTGGAGGGGAGCAAGTTGGATACAGAAAGACACGAGGGTGACCACATGCTCACACGAGGGTGACCACATAGGTGAGAAATGGTCAAATTCTGCATATAGTTTCAAGGTAAAGCCAACATGATTTTCTGACAAATGAAATGTGGGATGTGGGAAAAAGAGAGAAGTCAAAAATGCCTGCAAGGCTTCTGGCCTGAGCACCTAGTAAAATAGATTTGCCATCAGTTGATGAACTGAAAACTGTGAGGAAGAAAATCAGGGGCTTAAGTCTTATTTAATGAAATGTGTCAAGTAAGCAGTTGGCTACATGAGTAGAAGAAGGATCTGGGCTGAAGATATAAATTTGGGAGTTATTAGCATAGATCCTTGAACCTTGATATCACCAGAGTATGAGCATAATGAAAGAGAAGAGGGCCAAGGAATAAGCCCTGGTAAGAGACAGGAAAGAAGAGAGAAAAGTATATTCAGGTATGACCAGTGAGGAAGAATAAAACCAAGATCATGTGTTGTCCTGGAAGCCAATGAACAAAAGTGTATTAAGGAGATACATGTGATCAATTCTATCAAATGCAAAGTCAAATAAGGGGAGAACTAAGAATTGGCCAATGGATTTGAATTCATGGAGGTCATCATGACCCTAAGAGCAGTTTTGGTAGAGAGATGGGGCAAAAGCCTGATTGGAATGAGTTGGACAAAGAATGGTAGAAGAACAGGAGACAGTATGTACAGTTTTGCTGCAAAGGAGAACAGATAAATGGGGCAGGGGCTGGAGGGAAAGCAAAAATCAAACGTATTTTATTTTAAAGACAAAAATTTTTTTTTTTCTTTTTTTTATTTTATTTATTTTTATTATTTTTTTTTTATTTTTCGCTAAAAGTATTACAAAGGGTATTACATAAGTGTCCTTCCCCCCCGCCCCCCACCCTTGACAGGCCCCTGCCCTCCCTTACCCCCCATTGTCTTATGTCCATTAGTTATGGTTATATGGATGCATACAAGTCCTTCGGTTGATCTCTTACTCCCCTCCCTCCTGTCCCCCAACCCTCCCTGGCCTTCCCACTGCAGTTCGACAATCAGTTTGAGGCAGCTCTGCCACTGTATTTATTATTGTTCGAAAGTTTGTAATGGTCTTAATTATCCATGAAAGAGTGAGATCATGTGGTATTTTTCCTTCATTGACTGGCTTGTTTCACTTAGCATAATGCTCTCCAGTTCCATCCATGCTGTTGCAAATGGTAAGAGTTCCTTCTTTTTAACAGCAGCATAATATTCCATCGTGTAGATATACCACAGTTTTCTAATCCATTCATCTACTGATGGGCACTTAGGCTGTTTCCAGATCTTAGCTATGGTGAATTGTGCTGCTATGAACATCTGGGTGCATATATCCTTTCTGATTGGTGTTTCTGGTTTCTTGGGATATATTCCTAGAAGTGGGATCACAGGGTCAAATGGGAGTTCCATTTCCAATTTTTTGAGGAACCTCCATACTGCCTTCCATAGTGGGAAAGACAAAAATTTTAAGAAAAATTTTTTAAAATAAGAAATTTTAAGAAAAATTTAACAGTATGCTTCTATGCTATGTGACAGATCCAGGAGAGAAGAAAAAGTGATAATACAGAAGACATGGAGAACTGCTGAAGTGAGGAATAAAGAGAATGAGGTCTAATGCAGGAACTGATCAAGACGGCCGCGTCAGGTTTCGTCTAACGGGCTGAAACCGAACTGGATAGTCC